TTTGGTATGACCTGAGTTTGAAGTCCAAAACATGATATTTTTGTCATTTTTTTTGTTTTCTCTTTAATAAAAAGTAAATTAGACAATTTTTTCCATCTTCTTCATAAGAATTTCGTATCCTATAATCCTAAGAGCGGCGGTTGTCAATTTTTTCATCTTTTTATCAACTTTCTTTCGTTTTTATGTATGCTTGTGTATTACAACTATAGATCTAGTAAGGAATAATCAATTTATAGATTAAATGATTGAAAATGTGAGTTCTTACTATTTTTTTACAAAATCTCTGAATATTTGTCCGAATACATGAAAATTATGGCGGTTGGGGACCGCCGAGCGTAAATTCTATGTTTCTGTTTGCCTCGCGTTTTCGAACATGGTATACTATTATTATTTCTTCATGTTTCTTTTTGATACTTGTTTTTTTTTTCACGGCAATTTATGGTTATTGATATGCACGTGTAAAATAATTGTTCATCATTTACCGCCGTCAAAAAGTTGTTTTCTGGTCAACCAAAAAAGTTATTCAAAAACTTGCTTGATTACAAAAGTTTACGATAGAGAAAAATTGATTCTTGAAACTTTTGTGTGTTTTTAAAGAGATACGAGTGATTGTATTGTCTTCCAAGTACGGAAACTTTACAATATTAAAAGAGTAACGAAACTTGTTGACAGGAGTGAAAAAATATGCTGACGAAAAAGAAGAAGAGTATAAAATATAAATATTTGGGTATGAACAAGACTAATCTGTATATTCCTTAGAAGAGATCTACATATTTCGTTGACAAAAAAAAAGAAGAAAAGATCTACATATATATTTCTATAAAATTACAAATTACGAAGAAAATACAGTATAACTTATTGGAAATGTATCCTAGTTGGTGTGACTAAAATTTATACAGTATCTCTTTGTGTTTGGGATTAAAAAGATTTATAATGTAAACTTAAAAGTTAAAAATCAGCTCATTTAATAAACCCAAATACTATAGGTTTAGAGTTAATGATATAGGAAGGAGTATCATTCCCTAAAAATAAATAAAGTTGTTCACGTCGACTTCCATATGGAAGGAGTAATGCATTACCATTCATCTTTTAACCCAATTTATACGCACTACAATCGTTTTAAAAATTTGGAATAATTACGAATCATAACTACAATTGGCTGGCTGATAATTAACAAATAAGATTATAAGCCAAGGGAATAACTGATCATTAGCTAACACTTGGGGTGACATGCTCCACTCTGTCTAAACAACGATAATATTGTAGTTTATTAGTAGCATTTATTTTCCTCTATGCATCTTTTATTTATAATGTATGTTGTTTGATTGAAGTTGGAGAATGCATATGCATGCATAACTATATTAGCTATTTACAATTCGTACTAAATTATGCCATTGTTTCATTATTGTATTCAAACGTGTCCCTAATTCAAACGAAGTTATAACTAATTTAATGATATGAAACCGATATATATACATGAATATATTTTGGTAATCGGATAATCTAGATTGAAGCTTACAAAATACGTAAATGAGATTATTTCAATTTAAAGGGACTAACATCGAAACTTATTAATGTTATGATTCAAACTTTGATCTAGTCCAAAAAACACTCTTTACTAGATATTCAAAGGTTCTATTGGATTACCGCTCTTTGGTCAACTGATAAATAGTTTTTAGCAGAATAATCCAAATTTTTTAGCTTTAGCTTTCAAACGTTGTGCCACTGGACCAATTAGTCGATAAATAGTTTTTAGAAAAATACATGGACTTACTTTAAACCTCGACCCACATGACAAAACCACCATCGTATCGTACTATAACCATTCGGTTATCCATCACCATTTTGTTTGTTTATCCAAATTAAGTCCAAACACCATAACATATAATATTCGACTGTCTCTATAGCAGAAAAAGGATTCCCTTGCATACGCATACTCGTAGTCGTAGGCATATCTATACGGCCTAGAGTCTAAAGCTATTAAAGAAATATCACCACTATCGCTTATTAGTTGGACAAATTCATCTCCAAACTGTGATTATAATTAAAATTATCCCTTTAAAACTTTAATACTTTGATACACCATTATCTTTACGCAAGCAGTTTTTTGTTGGTCTCACATATTATTATATATGGGTGGTATATTTTTAAGCTCGATGCGATGCTTCTCTGTTGGCTTAATACGTGGATATCAATTAATTACGGCTCGCTAATTATCTCATCAACTAATGTATATGAAAAGATGAGATTTGGTCTCGTGTCTGTTTCATCTATGGGAGTTCCAAGTTGTACTATTCCAGCAAATCGGTTATCGATATAATAGATTTTTGTTAATGATAATCAGTCTTAAATTACAATCAACGGCTGAAGCATATAACTCGGCTTTTCATTTCTTTAAATTAAGAAACCAAGCAATAAACAAATAGAAAAAAAGTCGTGGTTCGGGTACATGATTTTTTTTAATGTAGAAGTTATATATATAAGTAATTAAGTAGAAGGGGAGATTCAACGAGAATTTTGTGTAATGCCAACTTGACGCTGCCCAAGTTCCCAACCATGCATGTGCACTTATACCCACCGCTTGGATATATGCTGCTTCCACATTTTTATTTATTTAAAAAATTATCGGAATAGTAATCGGAGAGCTGGGTAACCGAGGACAAGAGGATTTAATTTTAGATTGAAGATCCTGTTTGCGAAAACGGAAATTCCAAAATATGGAATTATGTATGTAATACTCTTCTATTTTTTTTTGTTTAGCGTTATCCC